GGGTTTAGGGTCTAGGTTTAGGTTTTTACCCTAAAATCCCAAACCTTTGGTCTGGTGGGGTGTAGGAGCCTGAAGGATTCCGGGAGTTAGGATTTGGGGGACGCTTGGGAATATAGACCCTCTCAAAAAGGTCCCNNTATTGGGAGTTAGGATTAGGGGACCCTTGGGGATATAGACCCTCTCAAAAAGGTCCCTTTTAAGAGAGCCACAAGTAGGGTTCAGAAGGGTCCCCTTTAAAGGGTCTCCCTAATACTACCTAGGAACGGAGGTGATGCGAGTAAAGGATGTCGGATGCAGCCGCCCGGAGCTCCGAAAGTCAGCTTGAGGGAGTTAACCCTAAACCCTTTTGGGTTTAGGGTTTAGGGTTATTTAGGGTTTAGGGTTTAGGGTTTACGGTTTAGGGTTCCTAAACCCTAAACCCTAAACCCTCAGTTGGCTTTGGGGCTTCTAAGATGTGCCGACCCGACTGAGAGGTTGGATGCAACTGAGGCCCACTCTTGTTTAGGGTTTGGGGTGTAGGGCTTTAGGGTCTAGGGTTTGGGGTTTAGGTTTAGGGTTTGGGGGTGCTGTTTAAGTACATGGTGCGGCATATTTCGCACTCTCGGAGGCTAGACTCAAAGATTCTGGAAGCTCTGGAGGTGACGAGGAGTTGAATCCAAGGCCGTGGGCAATAAGAGAAAGCAGGGACCTGCATCACCGAACCGAAAATAAGCAGTGATAGAACGAAACACCATACTAAACCAAAAAGTCCTACAACTGTGAAGAAGCCTCAAGAAACCTGAGCAAACATCCGGAATCCCGGAAGAAGACACGCAAAAACGAGCCCACTCAACATGGCTTTGTGTCAAGGCATCCCTCAAACAAAGTATCTGAAGAAGTCAGTCTTCCTGCTGTAGCATGCGACTTGCTCCGGCAGAACCCAACTCAACCATCAAACAACGTGTACTTTCAGGGTGCTATCAGGATTTATGGAATTAGGAGCCCTACCGAAACAAAGTTACCACTGAGAACTCAAGAATACTCCCTGTGACTGAGCTCCAGGCACTCCCCGCATGTCTACCTCCAAGTGTATATAGCTGCCCTCTTCGATCAGCCTGCATACAATACAGCTGTGTGCAACAAGATTTGCGGACTGGGGCGCTACGATGTTGAAGACAAACCTGGAAAGCAAAACCCCATACTACACCCCAAACCTTCAAGGTAACATAGTCATAGCGCTGGATAACTTGAACGCACTGTCCTTCGGTTCGTCCGGGCAAGCGGCAGAAAAGCTGTTTCCTAGCATAGCGCAGTAGTGACTTTTTTGAGGTCGGCTGTGCTCGATAAACCTTGATCCGAACAGGTTCAACCCCCTTACATCGGGATCCTAAACCCTAAGCCCTAAACCCTTACATAGGGATGATTACCCCGTGCCTTCAACCTTGTCTACAGGACTTTCAGCTTTCCGTCAAATCCCCTACATCTGTTGACATTGCAGGGTTTGGACAACGCAGTCCTGAAACTCAAACAGAGACCCGTAGAGACACCTCTACGGAATACTTGAAAGGGCTTGGAGATCGAATGTAGTTGTACAGAAGAGGAGCACCTTTTAAATTTCCCGAGCTCTGAAAGCTCCGGTGCATAAATCCTCCTGCAAACCATCACGGTGGCTCGGCAAGATCCGAACAGGGCAGCTCTCCTCCACTTGAATGGGCACCTCTGTTGTCTCTGAGAGCTATATTAGCACGTCCACTGTTTTTCCCTTCTCCTGCTATTTGCAAAGGGTAATAAGAGGTCTTTAAATTTAAAGATCTTTATGCGTGAACTTCTGCACGCAGCACGGCCTAGTCTCGACCGCAGGCTGTCTTCATGCGGTCATACCACGAAGAAATGCCGGTGTTTGCCAGCATGTCTGCATGTGTATCTGTGCCCTCGACACTTGCAAGAACTCCAAAAACCTCTAAATCTGCCATTCCAGGCTTCTCTCCGGCCAAGTAGGGCTTTTCACCCAAGGCCGAAGCCCACTTCGCACATGATTCGTACAAGGCTTCCCTTTCTTTACCTTCGGCAATGCCGGCCTTTTTGGCCATGCTCTTGGCCACGAAAAACATGGCGGCACCACCGAAATACTTGGCGACCGTGCCTGAGACGGGGTCAAAACTGTCGCCAACCTTGCCGGCGATTTGTAGAGCTTCGCCTGGAGTGCGATAGATGTTGGGCGGAAGTGTCTTCACTAGTGTTGAATCTACCCACTGGCCCCACTCCGCATCAGCTTCTGTCTCGCTGCTGCCGATGACAGCACCTATTTTTCGGATGATGTCTGCTGATCCTGTCACAATCTCGCCATCAACGTCTGCAATGGGGACCTTCTTGTAGTCACCCGCCACACCATCAATTTGGGCTTTCGTCACAGGATTTACCTCGATCTTATTGAGCTTCACACCATTGTAATCGCAGTACGCACGGACTTTGCTGCAGAAAGGGCAACTCTCGAACTGGTAAAGCTTGACGGCTGGGCTGGCAGTCGCCCCAGCAGCCAATCTGGAGGGGCACGCTCTTGCTTGAAGCTTCCAACTGCCAACGAAGGCAGATGCTGCAAAAAGCGCCAGGGAACAGGCAAATGTAAAGCCCAGCCCAGCAGAGCGGGTTCGACGCGCCATCGAGCCCTCTACCACCCCGAGCTGTGATAATTCTTTCTGCACTACCCTCCTTGGCATCAAGCAGCTGCCAACAATAACCTTGGCCTCTTTTAACTTCCACTGTCAGCAGTTTCATTCCAATTTCACTAGTATCGCAATGTTGACATCAACATTGATGACTGCGTTTTTGATTATGCTCACCACTGCCAAGAAAATAAACCACTGCAGCCGTCACTACTGCTACTACAGTAACGAACGGCAACCAGCAACGAGCAACGATCAGCAGCAGCAGGAGGAGTCGTCGTTGCCGTTGCTGTTGTCGTCGTCGTCGTCGTTGTCGCAGCATGCGTAAAGTGGAAGCTGAGCATATGTCTGCTTACGGTGTTGCTGCTTCTACAAGTAACTACATTATTGCTTCTTGCAGTTGTGTTTGTCGCAGTTGCTTGTTGTATGCTGCCATGCAAGATGATACCGCCACCCCGAACCCCAAAACAGCCGACCCAAACCCTGCCTGTCACCCCCAGCACGATCTTGCCATGGCTCATCCTCGGTCAGCAGGGGAAAGGATAAAGTACACAATCGTGAAATTTCACTGTGAAATTCCTTCAAAGTGCACAAACTAAGTTTCGATGCTACTCATATTGCTCTCTGACCTCACGCCAGCAGCCAAAGGAAGGATTCGGCTCCAGGGTTTTACCAACCCAACCCAGCAGTCCCTAGTCCCTGGTCCTTTAAAGGTTTAGGTTTTAGGTTTTAGGTTTTAGGGTTTAGGGTAAACCCTCAGCAATGAACAACAAACTTGCAAGTCCCGAAGTCAATTGTGCCCCCGGCGTCTCGGGACCACGAGCACCGGGATGTAGTGACCAAACGCCATGGTTGATTATGGTTGGCACCTTCGGTTTAAGGTTCAGGCTTTGGGGTTAAGGGTTAAGGGGCTTATCCGATGCCGTGCACTATTGGTATACTTGCTCAGGGACTTCGTTGAGTTAGATCCATAAAAGGGGCAGAAGGTAAAGTGTCCATCGCTGCAGCTGAACTTCACACGAGAAAACCTGATTCTAAAGATGATGTTTGATTCGCTCAGCGAATAATCAGACTTCTGACACAGTTGACACGATTTACGAGTACTAGCCGTACTATGAGTCAGAGTTAGTAACCGAAAAGTGAAAGGGTTCCCATCCGTAAATTCAGGGAACCCCAAGCCTGACAGAGAACTTCGAAACCCAAACCCCGGTAGGCTCCAGGAAGGCTTCGAATGTTGAGCTCGTGCTCCATTGATTGTGTACAGGTGAGGATTTGCTCCACGCTTCAATCCAAATCAGAAGCACAAGGAACATTGGTTCGTTAACCGTTTCTGTGCCCCTCACCCCCTGAAAATCCGACACCCTGATTTCCAGAAAAGTGCTGAAAAAGCATCGCAAATCCGGAAAATTCGATATACATCTGCGAACCCTGTGAACAAAATGGCCCAGGAACCATGGATGCCGAGTTGGAGCTGCGGTCGACTAGTGCATTTTCGCCTGTGGTGGCGCTTGGGGATGCATGGGGGTTAGGGTTTAGTGTTGGAACTTATCTGCTGGATTCGATGCCAACTGTTGTTGCACAACCGCGATAACGCTTTTCTTGAACTAGCATCTGTACGTAAGCTTGCTGAATGAGCAAATGCGTGACGAAGTCTTGCTCGCGACTGGCACTCTATGTCACTGCGTGGTGGTTTTGACTGGCTAAACAGAGGCGATGAAATCCACCACCATTGTATGAAGTGTGTCGCATTGCGGCACTGTGCGACGCCTTCAGTCCCAGAAATCTAAACCCTTATTTCCCGGCGCCTGCCTCTGCGGTTCAGGTCTTTAGACCGTCAGAACTTAGGAAAGCTTGAGTGACACAAACTGTTAGGAAGTTCAGGTTTGCTTGAGTGACACAAACCGTTAACTAGGTTGGCCCCTCCGAGCCTCTGAAAAATATTCGTAAATAAGATCCTCTTAAGCCCAATAAGGGAAAAATATAAAATGTCCCAAAGGCCTACCTAGCTAAGAAGTCCAGGTTTGTGGTCTTGTTCGTTCAAGACTACGCTAGCTGGGCTTCCAGGCTGCTAAACCCAGTTGTGTAAGTAAGCAAAACGGACTACCCTTTTTTCAACATCCGAGTGCACGCAAACCAACATCTCGGAGGTCTGGGATCTTGGCGTAACAACTCACATGAAACTTCGAGGATGCGGCTCAATGCGTATGGTCCAATGATAAAGGCCACCGCGCATCAAGCGCCAAGAGCCACCGACAGGAATCACCCAGCCTCGGTCAAAATTCGGGAGTAGTGTCTTAAGGCTTTGTAATCTTTTAATGGCTGACGTGCTTTTGAGTATCATTATGAAGCGCTGGCAATCAGATTGCCAGACGCATTGCCCGAACTTCTCGGATGCCACCTCACGTTCAGGAACAGATCTCAAAAATGGTCTGCAATAGTTCCGATGATGAGAGTTGCATAACGACCCCTAAACCCTAAACCCTAAACCCTAAATCCTAAACCCTAAACCCTAAACCCAACGAACCAGGTCAATCCGAAAGAGGCCCCGGCCCTGATCTTCAAAGTCGCCAACTTTGGTAACGATTTCGTTGTACCTCAGAGGCTTTAGGGTTTAGGGTTTAGGGGTTTAGGGGTTAGGGGTTTAGGGCTTAGGGGTTCGTTTCCTTTTCGGTTTTTTTTGGAACCCGAAGTCTTGGCGATTGCAAAGGATCAACCCACACGGCATGAACAAATCAGCGCCGACAAACAATCAACGGACATGGCACCGTTTCAACGCCGACTCATGCTCGCAAATCACGTTCGGAACTCGGAACCGCCACGGTTGTGTCTATCACGCAAGATGCCCGGATGTTAGACGTTTTTTTGCACGTGTCGAGGGTTCTCACAGCAAAAACAGCAATGATGGCCTGTCCGATGATGGAATGTGTGATGATGGAGTGTGTGATGATGCATGTGTGATGATGGCATGCGTGATCATGGCATGTGTAATGACGGTCTGTGTAATGATGGCCTGTGTGATGACGGCATGTGTGATGATGGCCTGTGTGTGATGGCCGGTGTGATGATGGCCTGTGTGATGATGGCCTGTGGCGAGCTTTGCAGGACGCGGATTGGAGGTCAGGTTCGGGTTGTGGCTTCAGGTGTTGCGAGGATAGGATGCCCCTGGCCAAGGGTGGCATGTTGCTTTGCGTGACAACTTCGCTGCCTAAACAAGAGCTTCTCTTTACGATTTGTTGGCATATCGGGCGAGTGTCCCACTCATCTTCAACTTCAATATTGATATTACTAACTTTCGAATTTTCCGTCACTTCGTTAAACTTGTATGTGTAAAACTGCGTAGGTACTGTAATTGGTTTTCTTTGCTTCCAGGCCCCAATCGCCAAGGTCAGTTCCAAGTTTAAGCAGTCTTTCTTTCCATACACGACAAAATCTGTATCCATACGCCGTATCCTCATCATCTTCGTGTATCGTAAAGCAATCTGTTTTAACACTATATACCTTAATCTTATTACCTTTCAATATCTCATATGCTTCACACATCCTAAAATTATGAGATTGTAAAAGCAAATCCTTGATATACATTTTTCCCAGTTCTTAAAGTCTTCTTCTCGGACACACTTAACACACAAAAATTCGTTCCTTCCGTCAGGTTGGGAAGTGATCTTCGCACCGAATGACACCGGTCAAGAGGATAAGTCCACAGAGTCACTCGTCAGTGACTCCATCCACTCAAACTCCATAGCTTTGTTCGCATGGCTAGGAGCAAGAGCGCCATGCCCCCTGCTTCACTTCCTTCTACTTTGTGGTTGCTTAGCCCTTACAGACAGGGCGAAAACACACAAACAATTGTCCCTTACCACTGGCGCAATATGCAACCTCCAAAAACGCTCGTAGCGACTGTTGCTACAGCACACGAATGCACTAGCCTGAACACAATCCACTTCTGGCTAGTTGCTCGCCAGTGACCTGGAACTCTTTCTCGTATTCCTGGCACTTTGCTTCAGCTCGGGGAGTAAGTTCGGGTCTCTGCAAGTACCGACTCGGAAGGACACAGGAGCTACTTTCCCCTCGGTTCTGAAACTCGCAGCTTCAGCACTCATCTGGGCTGGACGAAAATCCCATGCCAGGGAAAACTTCGCAAACTCTGTACCTCTTCCACACTGGAACCGAAATCAAAGCACCCAAACACAACACATTACATTGACTTGAACCTGGGATTCCTCGCTGGAACAATGGTGAGGCCGAAATCCCCAAATAAAATCCGAAACCCTATATCCTAAACCCTCCAGCCTTAACCCGAAACCACCCAAAACTCGCGCCTGGCTGGGTTGCCAGCAGAAAGGCGGCTTTGGCACAAGCTTTGGCCGGTCAGGGCCCGGCAAAGTCTCGGGCCTTCTGTCGGGTTTAGGGCTTTAGGGTTTTGTGTGGTTTCCAGGTTTCTGCAAGCGGTTTCTAAGGATCCATGCGTAAAGTTTATCGGGTGTGGATTTGGGATTGGTAAGGGCTGTTGTGGTGGTCCTGGTCATCGAGTTCTTGGTCGTGTTTGGTCGTTAGTTGGTGTTTGGTCATCTGTCGTTGCTTGTGGTCGTTGGTCGAAGGTCGTTGGTGGTGGTGGTGGTGGTGGTGGAAATGTTTCTAATGATGGTCGTGGTGGTGGTCGTCGTAGTTGACATTGACGCTTCTGGTTGCGTATTAAACCTGTCACACGTGTCTTCAACCATGCTTCGGCAACTTGTTGCAGCTTCTCACAACCGAACAGGCCCATACCTGCCTGGTACCACTCTCGACAGCTTGCCGCAAGTTGGCCACAATGGCCATGAGCTGCTGGAAGTCCTGCACTTCACGTGTTTCTGAAGGAAATTGTGATTCAAGGCTCAGTTTCAGGATCTTGTTAGGTTGTGGCGTATGAAAGGATTTTCCCACTGCCCTCACGTGACGAATCTGCAGTCTCCAGCATACAAGCATAATGAAGGCACTTCAAACATTCACAAGAAGCCACGTCCTTGCATGAGCGGCTGTTTAAGTCAAGCGCTGCCTGATTTCACAAAGTTGCCTTACGTCCTCAATCCGAACACAGACACAAGCACAAACACAAAGACACAGAGACACAGGGACACAGACCCAAAGCCCTCAACCCTGTACCCCTAAAGCCTGTAATTCGGCCTAAACCCAAACACACCCACCTCACACAAACACAGGGACAGAGACCCAAAGCCCTCATTTACTTCGGCCTAACCCAAAAAACCCTAAACCCTAAACATCCCTAAACCCTAAACCCTAACCTTAGGCCCTAAACCCTAA